CCAGAGAGGCGAAGAATAAGGGGGCGGGTGCGACAGAGAAAAGTAAGAACACAAAAACATGGTGACAGATGGGGACGGGAAATCTGTATGATGATGGCAATGATAAGGGTGAGACCAGAGACCGAAATAAAATAAAAAGAAAAACAACAAATAATAAGGCAGAGGAGAGTGGAAGTACAACTGGCTGCAGACTTACATCATGCAGAAAGAGTGGAAAAAAAATAGAGGGAAAACATTTTTTGCACCGAAACAAAGGGAGAGCCAGCCACTCGTGTATCTTAGAGAATAAGGGAGAGAAAGATTTTTTCCCTGCTGCCTCTCTGTCTTCATCATCACCATCACACTGCTTCATGACTATTTCATGACCTTTGTTTCTGCCAACTCCCAGCCTTCCTGAGTGTATAATACTGTACAACCAGAGGGCTTTCTGGGAAACTGCGCTTCCTTGTTTATCCTCGTTTCACAGTTTTCAATATGAACTGTGTTCAGGTCACTAAGAAATATCTAATACTTTTTGGCAATGAGTTAAGGAAAGCCATTAAGACCGTTTCTAAAGTGCTTCTTCTAATATCAGGATTATATCTGGGCTATGCTAGAAAATCTCCTCCTTGGTTGTGTGCGCGTAATGTTCAGATAATCTATGAAACACTTAACCTTTACACAACCGCGTTTCACTTCCACTTAACATTTATTACTCCTCACAAGTACTCTTCTTAACTTGGATTTTCCTTGTACTTGTTCCTCTCAGATCTGGTTTTAAGGTGTAGTTATTACCTGTAGTCCATCTGCGCTCTTTATTTAGGCTAACAAGTCAAAGCGATAAGGATTTTTTTGTAAATGTAAACAGGCCTGATTGACAATTACTATAAACTCATGGGTAATGCTTCATTGCTAACTCGTGTAACTCTGTAATGAAAGGAATGCAGCCACCCCATGAAGGCCACACGGTCTCTCCTCATGGGCAGTGAACACAGCTTCTCCCCTGCTGCCCTTTGTAGCACGTGTTATGATGAACTTCACGCCCTGCCGCCCCAGCATTAGCTCCAGGCTGCTCTCCAATACCCTGCAGATGCATCCTATCTCCTCGGCTTCTCCCGTCCTTGAGACAGTCAGTGACCTAGAAAGGGCCGGTTCTGTCATGGCAAGATTACTGTGTTTTAGCTGTTTCTACCAACACATTGATAAGTGCTCGTGAGCAAAAACAGGGAGTAAAAATCAGCGGGGAAATTGAGATGTGGTATTGGGTGAGCAGGCCGCGCTCGTAACGCTGTTTGTGATTCGTCCGGGGGGTGAGTGATGTGACGGGTCAGACCCTGACCCTTAACTCATCCAGGCCTCGCCACGCCCTGCCCCTCCACCCCCCAGGGGATTCCAATGTGCGACTCACATGACCCAGGCTGCTGACCTCTCTACCCTTCCTCTCGTATCCATTCTTCTCCATACCCCCATCCTCTCTGTGTGCGCTAACTTCCCACCCTGTGTTGCCTCCACCAGCGCCTTCCACTCCTTCCTGCGTCTCCTCCAACTATCCCTGTCTTTCTTGTTTTCTCCTTACTGTCGTATTTCAGGGTCGAAGGCAAATGCAGCACAGGCTCAAACCTACCTCTGCCTCAGCCCTGTACAGCCCAGGGCTTGGAGACGGTGGTATGTGGCTGGACATGCGCACCAGACACCAGGCCTCAGGGTGAACTGGGAAACTGTTTGCCTGACTACTCAGCAACTGGACTGCTGCACTGAGGCTAGTTGAGCACAGGCCATGGCGTCTTTATAGGAAAGAGGAAATGTATTCCCGAAATGACTAGATCTATTGTGTATGAAACGTTGCGCTCAGACTGCCAGCAGACATGCTGTTGAAACAAGCTGAACTGTGCAGTTGTAGTGTCATATATATTCTATGTTTCTGTCAGTTTGGTTTGGGCGCAGCAGTCAGTCAGTGAGACATTTTATTTTCCCGCATTATTTGCCATTGTGTTCTAAACTATTGCATCCTCACATCAAGCTGTCTGTTTGGTTCTCGCATTGACATGCCGTTCGGACGTGTCAGAATAAAAAAGGGAGAAAAAAGAAAACTGCTTTAGGTCTGTTATTTGCCATTCCTTTTGAGGTTATTGCAAAATGCCACAGCTTTTTGTCACACACGTGCACGTGCGCACACACACACACACACGCAAACACAGAGCTTGCACTTTATTACAGTCAGTATGTTAGCTGACTGTCACAAAATGTGTATGAACTTCACATGCGCTGTGCACACACAGGAAGATTATTAGAAAAAGATAAGTGGGGTCAGTAAAGCAGATGTTTGCAGTGCATCTGTGAGAGTGTTGAGCCTGGCCAGCCTCCGCGTCCATATGGACGTTTCAGAGTGCTTGACTGTATTTAATCCAGACACTTTCACAGCAAACACAACCTATTTCACACATGACATGATTATCACCAGGATGCTGATCATAAAGGATAAAATTTGGAGAATCTGTGTGTATATGTGCATGTATGCATTTTTATGTGTAAGCTCATATGGGGGCATTTGTGCAAATGTGGTTCTCTGCCAGGGCTTCCTTACTTATCTGTTAAGGTAATGCCCTCTGTCAGCTCAGTAGACAGCTACTTCAAGCATGTCACAGCAGTTTACTCTGCAGAGATACAGTTCACAGCAACATTTGCAATGACAGAGCTCACAAACATACCTGAAATACCCTTTGGTTGACTCCAAAAAATATAAAAACAATTGAGTAAAGTAAATGATGTTGGCCTTACATAACTGTAATAGTATTTAATTAAAATTACAACAATCAGTAAGGAACCACTGATAAATTGGCAGGCCCAGACATCAGGGATATTTATTGGTAGATTTCATATTAAATTGAACTTGTCATGTTTGTGTAGCTGGTCAGTTGGTAGCACAGGGAAGACTCACGTAGACAAAAACATATTAAAAAATAATGATAAGCAGACAGAATACAGGTTCTGTTAAGCCTGTGGACGATATCCAGGGGCAGCAGGTCATGTTTTTTGTGGCTGATTACAGTGAAACGGTCTGCTCTGTAATGTGAACATGACAAGGTCAGGACACAGGTGTGCTTTTAACCCTCCAGCTCTATAGATCCCAACACTGTAGTTTTCTCATCTGGGCTGTATATTGCACATCCTTTCTAACTGGACATCTTCAGCAATCACAAACGTAACACAGATGTGGGTGCACATGATGGAAACCATTACAGGCGGATGAGCTCGCACATACGGACAAGCAAAAGTGCACACATATGTGCTAAACATACTTATAAGAGAACCTGGCAAGAGAAGACTATGAATTAACCATAATTCCCAGGTCACATACGCATTTGAACGTATCGACCATCAAGTCTTGCTGAGCACAATGCACTCTACATTTTATTATTACAGGGATCTGGTCTATCTCTGGGAGCCTTGATACATTTTTCATGCATGTTTCCTCTACAAATATCAAAACACAAGATATTCTTTTTGATATTGATTCCTTTTTCTGCTGGCACTGGGTTATACACCTGGTGGAGCGCAGGGGAGGTCTTGCCTCTGTAATGTTAATTCACAGTCTGATTGGAATTTGCTTTAGTGAAACCCAGGGTTTCAGCGCTTTGCTATAACCGCCAGCTTTGAATTTCGATTAGTGGCGCTCAGCCTTTCAAATAAAACTCAGAAATGCAGTGTACAGAATATGCAGTCGTCGATACATGGCAGGTGTGAGGTTGCCTTTTTTATCTACTGTGTGTTCCGCTGTAATGAGTTTCTTACTCCTCCTACCATTTCCTTTTCATTGTCTACCCCTCTGGTGTAGCAGTGTTGGACTTTGAAGTTCATCTTTGTGAATCCACAGTTCTCTGTTGTCTGACAAACTCAATTCAGCCGCAATGAAGGCTTTGTCTTCTTTTGTGCTCTCTGTCAAACGAGCTATTCATGATTAATAGTGGTTTTAATGTCTGTTTTACTACATTAATGCCTCAGTTATGACATGGAGGGGGTGGTCTAATACTCCAAGCCTGTGTGTGCCGGCTGTCTCGCAGCATGGGAAGATTTTGTTTCTTACAAATTGTGCTGTCAGAGAGGGCCATTCCATAAAGAGCATCCCTCATCTTCTCCCTCTTGTTAATTTATTTTTAGCTCTGATTTATAAATGGAATAAATTACATTGATATCGGCCAGTCATCTTGTCCTCTATATGTTCCTACGGGCACAGGCGTTTTTCTTGCTCGCCCTGCACCAATTTATTGCATCTGCTTTAAGTAAATATGTATGACATTAGTGATGGTACAGCTCCCATCTCTGATCTGTTTGGTGAGAAACATAGGAAAACATGTTTTTGATGGAGACGAGTCAGCCAACAGGCAATGCAGCCTTTTAAAATGCAGATGGCTTTCCCTAGTTGGCCAATTAGTAACTTTAGCTCTGGAACACTTATCTGCTTTCATCTTGTGTGTCTTTCATTTGGGGGTGCAGGGAGCTTAGTGTACTTGTTTCCACAAGTGTGTGCTCGTGGTTGTGTGTACATTCGTGTGTCTGTTGCCGCGATAGTGAAAACCCGACATAGCTTTAGTCTAATGTTGCTGATAGTGAGGTGATGATCTGTACTGCTTGATCAGATAATAGGCTAAAACACATATCGAGTCTCAATGAACAAGAGAATGAAATGTGGAAGGCACCGCTGTTAGCGCTGCAGCCCTGACAGCATTAAAATTAAATGAGTTAAACTGGGAAAAATTGCCTTTAACTGAGCTACAGCTGGGTTAAGTAATGTGCAGCATTCCAGCAGCTTTGCCACTGACCTCAATCTTTTCAGGAAACATTCAGTGGAGAAATAGGATCACAGATTAAACATTATTAGCAAGCCATAGGGACATAGTAGGAATTTAGATGAGAGACACAATAGCTCTCTAATAATAAAGAATACTTTTACTTTTTCTGTATTTCTCTAGATTAATTTTATCTCCCTATTCTCTCTCTCTCTCTCTCCCCCTATCATGCAGGGCCAGACCTCTGCCCAGTGAGCTCCTCTTGCATGGAAACCCTGCTTCATTGGCAGCCTCCTCCTCTGCCTAGAGTTAGCAGCCAGCATGGCAGGATGAGCCTCTGCCAGCGACGATGATGGCCAAAAAGCAAGATGTCCGGGCACCCACCTACAACCTGGTCGTGGTTGGGCTGTCCGGCACGGAGAAGGAGAAAGGCCAATGTGGTGTGGGCAAGTCCTGCCTGTGTAACCGATTTGTCCGACCAAGTGCGGATGACTTCTACCTAGACCACACCTCCGTTCTCAGCACCAGTGACTTTGGAGGTCGTGTAGTGAACAATGACCACTTCCTGTTCTGGGGAGAAGCTGGGAGGACTGTTGAGGAGGGGCCTGAATGCCGTATGAATGTGGTGGAGCAGACGGAGTTCATTGATGATCAGACGTTCCAGCCGCACCGTAGCACGGCGCTCCAGCCTTACATCAAGAGGGCTGCTTCCACCAAGCTGGCTTCAGCTGAAAAACTGATGTACTTCTGCACAGATCAGCTGGGGCTGGAGCAGGACTTTGAGCAGAAACAGATGCCCGAAGGCAAACTTATGGTGGATGGCTTCTTACTTTGTGTGGATGTTAGCAGGGGTATGAACCGTAGCTTTGAGGACCAGATGAAGTTTGTTACCAACCTTTATAACCAGCTAGCCAAAACTAAGAAGCCTGTGGTACTGGTTCTCACCAAATGTGATGAAGGAGTTGAGCGCTATATTAAAGACTCACACACCTTTGCCCTAGCCAAGAAGAACCTACAGGTGGTGGAAACATCGGCACGCTCAAATGTCAACGTTGACCTAGCCTTTCTTACACTGGTTCAGCTAATAGACAAGAGTAGGGGAAAGCCTAAGATTATCCCTTACTTTGAGGCACTTAAACAGCAGAGTCAACAGATTGCCTCAGCCAAAGACCGCTATGAGTGGCTGGTCAACCGAATTGTGAAGAACCACAACGAGATGTGGCCAGCTGTCAGTCGCCGCATGCAGTCGGCCAATGAGTACAAGGAGTATGTTTTCCTTGAGGGCACAGCTAAAGCCAAGAAGCTCTTTCAGCAGCACGTGCATAGACTGAAACAAGAGCATATAGAGAAACGCAGGAAGTCCTATCTAACTACTCTGCCGCAGGCCCTGTCTGTACTATTACCAGAGTTGAGTGAGATAGACCACCTGAGCTGGTCTGGGGTTCAGAAAGTCCTGGAGACAAAGAGAGATTTCTCCCAATGGTTTGTAGTGCTAGATGATACACCTTGGGAGATCACACCACACATTGATAACATGGAGGATGATCGAATCCCCCAAGACCTCCTAGAGACCCCAGCAGCTGAAACTATCTATGAGACTCATCTGGAGCAGCTAAGGAATGAGCGCAAACGGGCTGAGATAAGATGGGAGTTCAAGGAGAAGCTAAGTGTCTCTCCTTTCATCACACCAGGGAAACCGTGGGAGGAGGCTCGAAGCTTCATCATGAATGAAGAGTTCTACCAGTGGCTCGATGAAGTTGAATATCTGGATATCTACAACAAACATCAGAAGGAAATCATTGACCGGGCTAAAGAGGACTTTCAGGAACTGCTTCTTGAATACTCTGAGCTGTTTTATGAGCTAGAAGTGGATGCAAAACCAAGTAAAGAGAAAATGGGAGCTATTCAGGAGCTGTTGGGTGAGGAGCAAAGATTCAAAGCCCTACAGAAGCTACAGGCAGAAAGGGATGCTCTAGTATTGAAACATATCCACTTTGTCTACCATCCAACAAAGGACACTTGTCCCAACAGCCCCCACTGTGTCGACAGTAAGATAGAGCAGATACTGGCCTCCAGATTCCCCACCCGCTACCCGTCATCAGACTGGATGGGGGGGAGGGCTGAGCGGATAAATCTTGTCATCCTAGGGAGAGATGGGTTAGCTAGAGAGATGGCAAATGAGATAAGGGCCTTGTGCACCAGTGACGACCGGTACGTGTTAGATGGCAAGATGTATGAGTTAGCTCTTCGACCCATAGAGGGGAACGTACGTCTGCCAGTCAATTCTTTCCACACGCCAACCTTTACACCCCATGGTTGCCTGTGTTTGTACAATTCAAAGGAATCCCTCTCCTATGTTGTTGAGAGCATAGAGAAGCTTAGAGAGTCAACTATTAGCAGAAGGGAAAGGGAAAACAGCTTAGCGCAGCTCCCACTGTCCCTCCTTCTGTTCACCAAGCGGGGGGTCGGGTCCATAGGGGATATTGGAGGGGAGACAGCTCAAACTCTTATACAGCAAGGGCAGCAGGTGGCTGGAAAGTTGCAGTGTGCCTACCTAGACCCTGCCTCCCCTGGCATGGGTTATGGCCGCAATGTCAATGAGAAGCAGATCAGCCAGATGCTGAAGGGCCTCCTAGAATCACGGAGAAGCATAGGTAGCAGTTCCCCTCCGTTACCTCCACCATCTTCTGCCTTCAGAGACTCTCAGTCCCAGCCAGCGCCTGAGGCAGACCTGAGGATAGTCATCTGCCTGATGTGTGGAGACACGTATGACCTAGACCAACTCCTTGCTCCCTTCCTTCTGCCCCAGCATTGTCGTCCCGCTTCTAACCTCAGCAGTGGCACCTCCGTTCTGCTGGATCTCAATGTAGGAGGTCAGAGGCAGAACATGGAGCTGTCACTGCTCTCCTTCCATTCCTCATTCTCCCTCCGCAAGACTGGTCTAGTTCACGGCTACATTGCAGTTTATTCTGCTCGCCGAAAGGCTTCCATGGAGACATTATGTGCTTTCCTGTGTGAGGTCCAAGACATCATCCCAGTCCAGTTGCTAGCAGTAGGAGAGAGCCAGATGGAGCTGACAGACTCAGAATCAGCAAAGGAACAAGTCAGTCAGGGAGAGGAACTGGCCCATGAAATAGAGGCCAGATTTAATACAGTAATATGTGGACATGGTGGGGTAGTAGGGGGGCTTCATAAGATAGACCTTTTCCAATCCTTCTTCAAAGAGGTCATAGAGAAGCGCACTATTGTTGAGGCCACACACATGTATGACAATGTGGCTGAGGCATGTACCAATGAGAGCATCAGCCCTCGCTGTGGCTCTCCTAGTCCTGTTAACATTCTTATGGACTCAGAGGATGATATCGACCCGTCACCACCTTACCCTACCATGAGGGAGGATGGTAGTCTCGGCTCCCACCTGGGAAGCTACAAGATTCCAGATCTGGATTCAAGTGATACCTTCTCTGTCATTTCTGAGCTCAGCACATTTGAGAGCAAGCTGAATAACAAGGTTCCTCCACAAGTGAAGCCCAAACCTGTCCGTAAGGTTAATCTCGGCCCCTACATGGACTCACAGGGAGGCACCAACCGTCGCTCCCTGCCCCAAGCTGTTACATGGGCGCCAGGTAGCGATGGTGGCTATGACCCCTCAGACTATGCAGAGCCCATTGATGCTGTGAGCAAATCTAGACCCGCAGATGAGGAGAATATTTACTCTGTCCCTCATGACAGCACACAAGGCAAGATTATCACCATCCGCAATGCCAACAAGGGTCACTCCAATGGGAGTGCTGGGGGGAATGGGTCAGACAGCGAGGCTGATAGCAGCTCACTGGAGCGCAGGAGAAAGTTGTCTGCCATTCATGTAAAGCCTAAACTTTACAGAGACAGATCCAAACGGCTTGGGAAATTCAGCAATTTTAGGACAAGCTTCTCTCTGGGCAGTGATGATGAGATGGGGGGTCCACCCAAGACTAGCCAGGATGACGGAGGAGCACAAAAGGACTCCATTGAGGAGAGCGAGGATCCTAAAAGGAGAAATATTCTCAAGAGCCTGCGCAGAAATACAAAGGTTAGTGTGCATCTCTGTTTGTCTGAGTGACATATGGATGAAGTGATTAAAAATATGTAAACTCTTAAATTGGGAGCATTAGTTGATTAAACTATTCCCCACACAGCAGTGAACAAGGATTATTCCAAAATGTTGCATCTTTGTTTTGGAACACATCCATTGTTCAAATACATTTAAAAATACTGACTTGTCTCAATAACCTCCTGATAACACAAAATTATTTTTAAGCAAAACACTGTAGGCTATATCAAATGGCTAGCTCTGCAGTACAGGATGTGGTGCACTTAAACCACTTTGCCTGCATGTATGCACATGTATTTGTTTACAGACAGAATGTATAAAATGTCAATAATCCCCAGTATAATTAGTTCTTGGCTGAGATTCAACACCTGTTTGCTTTGGTAGATAACAGTGTTTATTCTTAAAGTCAAGGAATAACTAATGAGTCCAGTATAATCTCTGTACTCTCTGAAGCTTAGCCCAGTGAAAACATGACATACTGTAGGGGTTCCTCTGAAAGCATGTCTGCCATATTTGTCCCTGACCGCTCTGCGGGAGCCTTCTAAACTAGCCAGATCATCAGAGGAAAAAGAAACAAACTGCAGTCAGTAAACGTCTATACCAGAAAGCAGAAAATCCTAATGAATAGAGACAGAGCCACAGTGTACACTGTGCTGTTTTATCTGTTTGTGCACATGTGTCTGGTTGCATCGGGTTTCCCATTATATGAGAGCTGGCTTAATGATGTTGGACATTTATCCTCTGCAAGATGCTGAAAACATCAACCTCCAACTTCTAGCTCTTTCTATAGTGACACATGAAACAAATTAAAGCTAATGTTATATCTCAGCAAATTAGCTGTAAACATCTCTGCTGTTGAGAAAACAAAAGTACTAACAAGCAAAATAAAATGAAAAAAACATTCTAAGAGTCTCCTCACAATAGTGTTTTTGTCCAATGTTAAAACCATCTTTTACATAATCCTTTAATAGTTTACAAAATCTGATTTTGTGGTCACCGTGTTTTCAGGCTCACATTTAGTGAGGCTGCTCTTTAGCCCCTGTCAGACATAGATTCCTTTTCTGTGATCTAATGGCATCTAAACATGTTGGCTTCATGTCAGAATGAGCACCCTGGTCACTTTTCTGTGAAAGTCGCAACAGCAGTCTCACTAGGTCAGGCCTTGTAACGTTTAAATATCACTGTCAACACGGCACAAGTCTGAAATGCATGCCATCTCAATAATGGATACAAAGGATTGCAGTGCACTGGTGTGGGATGTAGCTGGGTATGGTGGGTGACACTACCTCGTGTTATATGTCACTTGATATATGTAGCTTTCTCTGTCACTGTCATTAGTATGTCTAGATAAAACTGTAAAGATCATTCAGACAGCTATGTCTGAATGACACAATGTTGTCACTTTTGACAGAGAGTTTACAGCTAGCTGGCAGCCAACTAGTCTCCAACTGGCAGAATGCATGTGCCATTAGTGAGATAGTGATTGATTGTTGTCTTTAAGTCACGGCAGTGTTGTTTACTGTTCGCTGTTGTGGAGCTGCAGTGAATTATGCACCAAAAGTTGTCAACTTGTTCCAGAGACTTCCAATTCTTCCCTGTCGGTTTGGCTTTCTATGCTTCCTTCCTTTCATTCTCTCATATTCAGTGTTTGTCTTCTCTTCTTGCTGATTCATACTTTCTGCTTCTCACATTCCTGTCACATTCTTTTTTTTCTCTCTCACCCCATTATGCTCTCCCATATCTCTTTCCTTTTTTTAAAAAAATTTCTGCCAGAGGTTTTATTTGCACACGTAGGTATCTACCCCTTCACTTAGGTTCTGTCTAACCATGTCCTCTTTCTTTCTGTTCTTGTCTCTCACCCGTGTTGCAGTGAAGCTCTTTGACCTTACACTGGTAGGCTTATCAGCCTGGTATGCTGTTCATTCACACACGTGGTGTGGTACAGAAGCGCCAGCTGAACAGGAGTTACAGCTGTGTATGTTGTGCTTGTGCGTCTGTGATAATTACCATGGCTGTCAGTAGGGTGGAACAGGAGGAGGATGATTAATGTTTTCACACACTCAGCTGTGATGTCCAAGTACCTGCATGGAAGCTGTCTTCTCACATAGTTCAACTGCCTCGACTGCATTCTCGAGTACCTGGTGCCATTTGCGCTTCTGAAACACAAGTGAAGCACAAGACAGCGGGGTAGTTTGTTGATCAGAGAGGCTTCCAGTGAAGTAAAGCTCCAGTAGCTCTGACTTCTAGGCGACCCCGTGCTCCAACCCCGTCCCTGCAGGAGGGGGCAAGACGAAAGGGGGATCAATAAAGTATCACATGACACATTATCAACCTTCATGTTTCAAAACAAATCCCCCAAGAAAACGGAGGACAGCCGAGTGTAGATCCGTGTCGTCATCATTAGTCTAATTAGTGCCTCTGATTTGTGCCCTACAGCACGTCTGGGATCTGGATACCCACATTACAGGCCATTATGGCTTAATTGTGGTTGTAACAAAGTGATCAAGTTCCATCACCTATTTTCTGAGCAGCTGTTTCGAAGATAAGAGTCCATTTTCAATCTGCTGCAACCTGAAATCCCCTCAGGATGACATTTTATTGAGTTATTTGGTCATCTCTGGGAGATGTATCATAGCAGTGACCCGAACCAGCAATTCCTGCTCGTGGCTTGTCAGGCTTAACACAAAGTCTGATTCTTACTTGAGTTTTAGGTGAAGGTTCGGGTTTATGTGGTGTAAACATTCTCCTGGATGCAGCCTGAGGACGCTGTCTACCACAGTGCGTCAAGACGAGTAAGAACAAATAATTAAAATTAGACTCTTTGCCCATTTTAAAACTCCCCTTTTACCTCAGGCAATGGCCAACTGTGTCTGTCTTGATCACCCTCCCTCAGCGAGAGGCCGGAAACATTTCCTCTCTCTCTCTCTCTCTCTCTCTCTCTGTTCTGCAGCTTTTTTTTTTTTTTTTTTTTTTTTCAAACCTCCTCAGCCAAGCAAGAGGAATGTTTCAAATTCCTCAGTCACCTAGTTCGTCTAGTGTCCTCATGCAAGAAACAAGAGGGAGGGAGACAGACCGTCAAAGTAAAAAGCGAGAACACCGCCGTGGAAAGAAAATAAAAATGGAGATGGAGTGAAATGAGAGTTATGATAGAACACCCTCATGTTTCTGCCTCCTACGGCGCGCAGTGTATGTAAACGCTTACCATGGTGTCTGTATGTTATTATTACGGATGTGTTTTGTTTTTCTTTAGTGGTAGAGGTCTGTTTTGTCTTCTCAGCGCTGGCAACATATCCTGTCTCAGTCAGCAACTAAAAGGAGTGGCCAGAAGGCAAAACTGCAGGGGGAGAAGACAGTAAGAGAGAAAAGTGGGTGCAGGAGGAGAAAGAGGAGGAGGAGGGGGAAGTATAGAGACAGTCTGCTAAGCTGAGATAGGGCACAGATATACAACACAGTCAGTGTGATAGGACACAAATAAATTATGAGCTGCTTCTTGGAGCAAAAAAACCCCCCAAAAAACGGCAGCGAGCTCTAACGCCACAACTTGTGTAGAGAGAATCTTTTATCACTTTCCCTTTAATTCAAATACAGCTTCAGGTGGGTGTCGTGTGAACGAATGAACACGCGTCACATGTACGGCACAGATGTGCAACCGCTGCACCGGCCGCAAGCGTAAGGATGTTGAGGGAAAGGAGTGTTGTAGAGATTGGGGTTTGGCGGCGGAGGATGTAGAGGGAGCGATAAGTGAAGGAATTCCAGTTAGGAGTCTGTTCGTGTGGGGTTAAAACAGAACTGGGCTGCAGTTGTGTAACCTGCATGTTCCAGTGCAGGTCGTCTTCTCATCATCTTTGTTCAATGACTCTCTCCGTGAGCCAGCAAGTGTTTGTGTTTGTGGGAGTTTTTTGCCACTTGATGACTGAATTAGTAACATCCTCTGCAATTTGTTATAGAAAAGCATTTAATGATCCTGGATTCTTAAGGTCAATGTCAGTACCAATACTTGAAAGCAAAATAGCAATATGTTTGTGTATTTCGTCAATGTTGAATAGTAAACATAATTAAAGTAGATGTTATTTTGTGTTTTAGCTACCAAAGAAAAACTTAAAACCTCTGAACCTCAGGTGTTTTTCATAGTTTTACTAACTGTAGACATTTTTTTTTCACTACAAAATAAAGTTCTGCACCTCAATGGAAATAGCACAACAATGGCTAGATGTAGAGAGAACTCAAAAAAATGTCTTATGTGCAGGATAACAAAGTTGTAATGCCAAAAATCATGAATATATAAAGGGGAAAATGAAAGCTGAATATTTACTTTACAAAAAAATGGGGAACAAAATGAACCCAGCTGCATTTTCCTTAGTGTCTAAAGGTGTGAAAATGTGACTCTACACACCATAGATATTTTACTCATGTTTTGATTTTGTTTTAATACTGGTCTCCTATCTATTCTGTGTAAACACAGAATGCAGTTAAACCCAGTTCAGCCAAAAACAGTCCCAGCATTTTTCATCACATGACTGTTTATCACAGCCGAGTCAGTTCAGTTCAGAATCAGATTTGCGCAAATGATTTCTTTTTTTGCAATTTTTTAAATAAGTGATTTTATTTAAATATTATGATTTAAGCTTGGATTTGGTTAAGTTTTCAGATAAAACAGCATGTCCAAGATGAGTAGTTCAAGGACAGTCAGAAATGTGAAAATCTAACTGGTCTTTCTGGTTTAACATTTTGTAACTAGGATAAATTATGGAAATTTGGCCATTTTTTAACCATAACATGCCTTTCAAAGCCGCTGGTGGGTTTTGGGGTTTAGAGCATTGAATGAAACTACAATAGCAATGTTTCCCGTAACACATGTATGCCTTCCAAATAGTGACTGACAGTGATTCAACCGTCATATCGGTGTATAATAACGTTGGCTTGCACCTATAGGTAGAGACCTTATAATAGACAATGTACTGTAGATAAACAAGAGTAAATTCACTAAATGCTAAAACAACAGGCGATGCAGACAAAAATCAGGGTAGCCTTTGTTGATGTTCCCAGGCTTAATGAATGTTTCTCTGCTTGTTTCCTTGAGCAGCACTGTGAGTGAGTGTGTATATATGCGCTATCGAAAATGCCTGGTGGAGTGCAGTGAGGCCAGTATCTGGAGCAGAGGGCACGCCGGGCTTCTTCTCTCTAATGAGCACTCCTCTGCTCCTTTCCTGTGTCTGTCTGTCAGGCCTGCATTCGTCCCACAGTCGATGTGTCTAGCCAACCATGCATCCCTGCCTCACCACCCAGCCTGCCAGGGCACTGCCTCGGGGGGCTGACAGACTTACTAGAGATCCAGGCCTCAGGGGCCTTCAAAACATTCCCACTGAACACCATTAAAGCGCAGTACAATTACCGCTGATGCCTCAGCCATACGGAGAGGCAGGCAGAGAAAGTTGCAGGAGTGTATTAGAGGTCTCTTAACAGGAGAATAACAGGGGTTGGAAAGTAATTAAACAATGAATAAGAGAGTTTTATTATCTGAGAGCTGCAATGCAGTAGTGGAGAGAAAGAGAATGCCGGAGGAAGGAGGGTTAGAATGAAGAGATCAGGGCGATGAGGAAACCGATGTATATCTCACTGATGCACAGAACATTGCTCAAGACAGGAATGTATGATTACTTATCAGCTTAAGGAATGTGCGGGATGGTTGTGTGCGTTTTTTCGTTAGTCGTTGCTAAACAGAAAAACACACCTTTAAAAAAATAAAAGGTCATGTTCTTTTCCAACCGAATCAAGTCATTTCAGGAACAATGCCTCGAGGCTTGGTTCCAACGCCAGTCGCTCTCAAATAATGTTGATGTTTTGTTCTCTGACTGCTCCAACTAATCTGTTTTTTCTTTCATTTCCCCTCCACCCCCAGAAACCACGACCCAAACCAAGGCATTCTATCTCAAAACCCATCGAAAGCAACTACTTTGGCATGCCGCTGACCACCGTGGTCACCCCCGAGAGACCCATCCCCGTCTTCATTGAGAAGTGCATCCGTTTCATCGAAACAACAGGTAAGAATCTGCTGCTTAATGGCATCCAGTGTGATGCATCACAGACTGCTGTTTTCAGTCAATTAGGTATTAACTCTCATAAAAGGATTTCAAAGGATCCATTCTGCCTCTGCCTGTGCTATACCTGCCTCCATTTATTTTGCTTTCTTCTCTTCTGCTGCATTTTTTTCCCCCCTCCTTATCTTAATCCTCCTCTCTGGTGGGATTGTTGCGTACTGTCATCCGCCTTAATTCACTCGCAGCCTTTGTGTCTATGTGCACACGCTTTCTTTATGTCTCTGATTCTTTGTTCGGGGTTTGATAGATGGTTTTGCCTGAGCTGCGGGCTTTACAGGTGGGCACCAACAGGGACATGAATCAAGGATGTTAACTTGCTTTTTGATCGCTGAAATAGTAAAGAAAGCAAATTAAAGATGAATGGAAGAAGCCGTGTCCTTGTTTGCATTTACACGTAGCATAAATACCATTACCTCAGGTTTGTGTGGCATCTCCCAACTGGTTTCCAAATAAAGGCTTTAAAAAAAAAGAAAAGAAAAAGAGAACATCATAGTTTCCTTTAGCAGCAGTCTTTTGTGCCAACTTTAGAGTAAATCAGATCAGTGTGACACCAACAGAAGTTTGCAGTGGAGAGTAATGTGTTGTTTTTAACGGAAATACTCTCACCGGTTTAGATTAACGTGTGCACCACTGTGTTTAGCTAACAGGTCTTTAGTCTGGTGCCAGCAGCCACCCAAACCTCCTCTCTGTGAGCACAGATGTGGATAGATGGCCTTCTCTAACCTTGCTTACCCTGTTGCCCAGATGCCAAACCCCCTGCCAGGCTCTTCTGGTGCCCCGCTGCCCTCAGACTGCCAGCTCGCCTCTCGCTCTGTCACCAGCTGTTACGCTAAACCAGAGGCAACTTAATGCAGGGTCGATGCTTGTGTTAAGATATTTGCACTCGTCTTTCTATTCTTGGCTGGGTCATAACCAGGATTTTAGATACTAAAGTTGTGAGTGCCTCCGTCTAAATTCCCGGAAAAAGTGCAGATGGTAGATTTGTCCCACCTAATATTCAATATAAAGGTCGACTCTTTTTCCCAAGTACTCAAGTTTGTGAGTCTGTCAAACCATCCCTGCTGCTGACTGACGTGCCAATGCATTCCATCGTAATCTCTGTCCTGATTAAAGACCGTATTTGTGGATCATTGCAGCCTCGCAAAGCATCCACCTTCTTCCTCCGTGTAGACGCAAAGCTCTCGATAACACAGCATCACGTTAGATTCCACCTCACCCTGTTAACACGTTAACCGGAGCGGTCACGGCAGTTACGAGAAAAACTGGTTGAATATGCAGACGCTGTTGTGCACGCTGGGGAGTGAATTCACAGCTCCTCTGGAGGTATTTTCCACCTCTTATCCTCGCTCGCTCCTTTTAGTATTTCTCCTAATCCTCTGTTTCCTCTCCCCTCCCCTATTTTATTTCTCGTGTCCTTGTTTCTTTACTTCTTTCTCCTGATCCACTCATCCTTCTCCCTCCATCACTCTGAGTACCTACACTTGTCAGATTTGATTTCTTTCATCTCCTTGCTAACACACATTTCTATTTGTCCCCCTGTTCTAGTGTCACCTCCCTCAATTCACTGTATCTCTTTCTCCCTCTCTCTGAACTTCCTCTTCATTGCTTTGTCTCGCTTGTGTGTGTGTGTGTGTGTGTGTGTGTGTGTGTGTGTGTGTGTGTGTGTGGGTATGTGTGTCTGGGTGTGTTTTATCCAGGTAATATTCTGCCCCATATCTCCCTCAGTTCGATCAATATCACAAGCCAAGAAATTGGAAGAATATTTGGTCTCTGTTGTTTTCTATGTGTGTTTAGCTTCTTCAAATGTTATTTGCAAGTGTAGGCATGTGTAAAGAGCGCGGCACACACTAACCCGGTGCAGTGTGTGTGTAGAATTGTTTTGTTTACATGCTAACACATGTGGGACAGACCCACACTGAGATTCTCTGGGACTCGAAGGGGAAATGAGATACAATGTGCTATTTAGTCCTGATTGTTGTTGCTGTAAGTCAGACTTTACTTATCCCATATCTGTGTCTATAATCTGTGGATATAATGGCACTTGCAGGAAATTACCATACAGCGCTGACACCGTGTTTGTCACTGCAGCGTGAGCTGATAATGGATGACGTTGTCACGCCGACCTTGGACCTGCTGCTTTGACCTACATTCTTCCCTTTTCCTTTTAGAGCAACAAAAATACTTGCAGCTAACTTAAACCCAAATCCTGCCTTTATTCCCATCTGTGTAAATGTCACCCGTAATCCTTCACTTACATACACTTTAAATGTACACATACAGCAGCTGAATTTTTGATATTCATCATTTTTGGTGGCAGCACAAAGGCGCTATAGTGAATAAAATGTGGTATTTTCAGTTTTTATCATTTATATTCTGAGGTCTTATTTCTTTGTTGCATCCCTTATTCGTGCTTCATAGCTCACTCCTTTTGTCCTTGAGAATAATGGGAGTGGATGTGGTATTTTGTGTTATTTTCATGCATTCTGAGCTTGTAGAAAAGCAGCTATATAAAATCAATCCGTAGTGACTGCTGTTATCTCTTCTCAGCTCGGGCTTTCTCCCAGCGTGGTAGTCGCAGTGTGTTCTGCTCATGGGCACCGAGGTGATGAATGTGTGTTAGCGTGTGCAGGCATATCTGCTGGCTGTAGGAGCCTCCATAGCGACGAAAAGGGCAGCACCCAGCGACTGCTTGTCTCCATGGTGAACTATGAAATCAGCCTCTGGGCTGCTCAACCCGGAGGGTGGCTGGGATTCTGGGCTGATGTGGGATCAGCTGGATTGGTGTCAGACAGTAAACGCGCTGCAGAAAGTCGGCCGCTAACTGAGGGAGCATTTATCACACTCTCGGAGTTTGTGTGACTGCGGGTCCACAGGCATGTTTTTGGCCTCTTGAGTGCCTTTGGAAGCTGTGAAGTTACCATAGATGGGTGTATTTTTAGGTTTCTATCCTATTTATAAGCGAGCGCAGTGCATAAAGATGTAGGCAATAAAAGCTTCTAAAAGTAATTTGCACAGTGTATGGATTTAAAATAGCCTTAAAGAATGGAAGAAGACATTAGAGGCTGCAGATTTGTTTGCCGTTGCAATTGTGTTTATTTGCGTTGACCTCAGGAAGTGCTGCTGCTGCTTTCTCTGACTGTAGAGGAAGAGGGTGCAATTTTAGTGAAATCACCTTTTCAAGCGTTCACTGTAGAATTATTATTTTATTCTATTCGGACCCTCCCACTGCCTTTTGGCTCCTGTTACATTCCTTTCATCTTCATGTAACCCCCATCTTTGATGTGCTTTGTAGCTTCCCATTCCTCTATATATCCATCTTTATCTTAATCCCTTTATTTTTCCTCATTCTCTCTTTCATCAGTCTGACTCTCACTCCTATTCGTCCTCACACTCCCCTCACTATCTTTTTCCATCCTTGGGTGCTTGTCCTATTTTGCCCCTATCTCTCACTCTCTCACCCCACCACTGCAACACTACTCCCTCTCCCTATCTCTCCTCCCATCCCTGTTTTCCTAGTGTCTGGCTAGAAAAGCTTTTGTGGATAATTGATTGGTAGAAGGAGGAGATCGATGTTGTATGCCTTGACTGAGAGCTCTCTCATTTCCTCCCTTGCCTCTCCCTATCTCATCCTTTTTTTTTTTTTCTGCCACTTCTATCTCCCTCACTCCCTCTGGACTGCTCTTTGTCTCCCCCGTATCGCCACCAAAAGTGCGAGCGAGGAGAGAATTTCAAGGGTGGAGGATGGGAGGTGGAGCGTTATCTTTTTGTAAATTGGAAAAAACTATTAATGAACTGAAATGAAGTGAGCTTTCATTCATACCAGCTGTCTGCGGGCTCTTCCTTTCTGCCACTGACCCACTTGGTTCCTGGTGTTTTCCACATCTGAGAACATGGATGTGTTGCCAAGGAGGGTGTTTACTAAACCTACTGCAAGTTATATTAATAGTACACTATGATGCATGACTTCAGTTTCTTAAGTTGGGGTATTTTTTCAGGCTACAAGTGTAAAAGAGCCTCTGAACCTCAAACAGTTTCTGCTCCTGTCACATTTTGACTCACTGTGGGCTCATTTTTCACTGCAAAATAAAGTCCTGCACCTCTATGGAAACAGCTCAACCATGGCTAGAAGTAGAGAGAACCTACACATGTTTTTTTTGTGCAGTATGACACAGTTACCATGCCATAAATCATATAACTTTAAAAAAGAAAGTTGAATTTATTTGATTATTAATTTTACAAGTTTAAAAAAATAAAAATAATGAAGCAACATCTACAACACTTTTCCAAGTGCCCAGGTGCTTTACCAAGACTGGAAAAATAGTGATTAAATATTGTAGATATTTTTCTTACTTTACTTACTACTGTAATACTTGTTTCTTTATTTGTATCTGCTCTGTGTAAGCACAGCCTGAAGGTCAGCCAAAAAAAAAAATTCCCAGAAGTCTTTGTCACTTGACTGTTGGTAACTGCTGAGGTAGTCGTGGCTTCCCAGTTGCACAGAGGCATGTAGAATTATCTATCAGAAACAATTTATTTTTAGTTAACTTTTACATGTTCCATGCAGACTAAAGTGAATCCCAATAAATTTCATGATTTTATGCTTCAATCCGGTTACATTTTCTGATGGAATTGCAAATTTAAGGACGGTTGGCAGTTACTGTTTCTAAATTCGGGAAACGCTGTAATTGTGGTTATTTTTCTTAAACATGACAAACCTTTCAAAGCCACCGGCAGGTTTTGGTATTTAGAGGGTGAATTAAGGACAGATAAATATTGTTGGCACATTTTGGTGCATGTTGGGGTAACAGTTGAACTAAAACATAAACATATTTTCTGCTACTGAACTCAAAGTATTTGGAGTTGCATGCTGTTTTTGAAAATACATATGGGTTTATTTTACTTAAATGACAGTTACACAACGTATGAGGAAATGTTACAATAGTCAGAATTTACCGCTTAACAAAAGAATCCGCGATTGTATTAAAAAGTTATGAAAAATCAATGCAGTTTTTCAAACTTTCTAAGTGCCAATTATATTGGAGTATAATAGAATAGATTATTGCTGTAAACGGTTAATACAATCTAACAGGCTTTCTTAATGTGTATTTAATTGGAGGCCTCAGTCATGTTGTGCTAGACAGCACCTGCTGTGAGCCATTAAAAGTCTGTAAAAACACAAATTTGAACAGGAGGCAAGAGAAACGGAAAGGCAGGATTGTATGAAGAATAGCAGACTGTTGGACTCCTGCTCTTTTGTCTCGTATTGTTGCTTTGATGAATACATGCATATTTGCTGCAGTGTGCTTTATTGGCGTCACAGTGCTTATGTTGTCTGGACTAGATAAACCAAAGATGTCTATAATCTCCTCCACCTGCAACATTGTCCCTCCATGTGAGTTCAGTGAAACAGTGACACTGATTTTACACCTTGTTTTTCCCAGTTGTTGAATAGACAGTCTCTTTGTTATAATTTGCACCCCTGCACTAATAAAACGCTCCTGCAATAAATATTACAGCAACTCAAACATGTACATTTTAGCTGCTGTTCCTCTGTTTTCCAGCATAAAACCTTTTTGCAGCCCTTTAGCTAATACGGATGTACTTTGACTGTTTAAGGAAAAGCTGCAAATCCTTCGTAAATATCCTCTTAAGAATGAAGCTAAGTGTGAGAGGAAAAAAAAGCACATGGCATACTCGCTTTTTAAAGTCATTTTTATAGCGCTGTGGCACTAAGGTAGCTTCAGCTTGTCACAGTGCACCAGTGGGCTCTTAGCAGGCCTGCAGGAGCCCTTTATGGGTTTAATAAATAGTGCTAATAGCGTGTTTAGATGGTCGGGGACATAGGGAAAAGCTATAAGCACAGCCTCTGCTTTTTCTGTCTTTGACAGTGCATCTGTACACAGAATGATGATATGTTAAAGAGTTCTTGGAGGGATTGAACAGTTACCATAACTACATGTTGGAAATTAGAAATAAGAAAGAAACACTGAGCTAATAACATGTTTTTTTCCCTTCTCTCTTTTCTCCAGGGTTGAGCACAGAGGGCATCTACAGGGTCAGCGGGAACAAAGCAGAAATGGAGAGCATGCAGCGGCAATTCGACCAAGGTGCGTTGCTTTCTGCTGACAGTACTCACGCATTAGCGTGTGCACATGCTTAAGTGTGAAGAAAAGGCCATGAAGATGTGTACGTGTGCAGATCTGCTTCTGTCTATAACAATCCTGAGGCTCCTTAATTAACCAGGGAGCATTAATTCTACTGAGGGAATTGGCCTTCACTTCCTTTTAGACTGCAGAGCTACCTCCTCAATCGTCTATCTGCCCTCATGTGCATCCTCGCACGTGCACAAGCGCCCTCAATGTGCGTCTCCATGCGTGTGTCTGTCTGCCGTGGGCAGTTAATTGCCTCCAGATTGGTTTGGTTAATGAAGCATGTTGCTGCCGAGATAGATAGCAGAGCAAGATGGCCCGTGTACGCGTGTGTGTATGCGTGCGTCCACGCCTGGTTGAGATTAAATCCAACTCCAGTAATCAGAGTTGAAACCCTGCGTTGAATCATTTTGAGCCTCGGGCTGATGGGACAAGACAATTACAGGTGAAGCTACAGCGCAGGTGTCTCGTAGCCGCGGCGAAGATGGCACTTCATCAGCTCCCTGAAGATTTAGGTAACTCATTGCAGGAGAAAGCGGCATCAGAAGCGCCGTGCGTGCAAACTTTGGAAATGGGAGCTCTCCTCAGACTGTTCATGAACCCTCTAACCGCAGCTGTAGCACTTTTCTCTCGCCTCTCTTCTTGCTACACATACTACCTTTTGTAAAGTAAAAAGTTATCAGAAAATGGCTTTTTTAATTAAGTCTCCTGCTCCCACACACGTGCTCTCTCTCTGCTAGAGTGGTGCTCCAGTGGTTTTGCGTTCTGGCTCTCTGGGCTTTTTCTTCGCTTAAATTAACTTTATAATTGTCTATTTGTTATTTATTTATATTAAGGAAATTATGAATTGACAACTCTAGGGCAAACATATTTGTGACTACAAGTCGTGTGTGTAATTGAAAAGAACCAGAAAAGGAGTGTCGTGTATGTGGATGTAAGCCTTGTCATATTTATTACATCATTGTAATATCACTATATAATTTCATTTAATACATCACTGGAAAATCTGAACGTTTATGATCTACCAAAGTTAACACCATGCAAATTAAAGTACTTTATCACATTGATTCAAAAATAATATGAAGTCCACCATTTACATTATTCAAGACACTGCTGATTAGGATAATCTTGTACAGCAGAGATCTTGAATGCATAGTTACTAACATACCCAGGGTCCTGCGTTTCGCACATAAAGGCGGATCACAATGCTTTCTGATTCCAAATGTGTGTAGGTTTGGTTAATTTATATCATGAGCTGTGATTAAACACAGTTGTGATCATAATAATCAGCTTCATTTTGCACTCTTCATTGTATTCAAAGACACAAAAACAGGGAAGAAAATGCAAACTACAAAGTCTAAAGCAAGAAGAGGAACGAGACATCTTTCAAATTTTACTTAAACTTTCTTTATGACATTGCTCAAACTGCTGCACTTGTGTCAAATTCCTGTACGCAGTGTTTTACGACATAGTCTGTGGATAAATGAAAATGAGTTTCACAACAGGGCTGTGATTTCACAATGAGTGAGATTTGTTGGAGGTTTATTTTGGCCCCTTTCAGACGTGCACTCCTTTCAATTAATCTGAGGTAATCTGAGCATGTTGGCTTCATGTTTGAATGAACACCCTGATCACTTTCATTAAAAGTTGCGATAGCGATCTCTTCAGTTCAGAGTCGCTTTCAACGTGGCACCAGTTTGAACTGCATCAAGTCGGATTACAGGATAGGTCTCCACAAGTGACGTACTTTGAGTTGCACGGAATGATTTGAGAAAGGCTTTTTCCACAATACAGGTCCACAAACATTACAAGTGCAAAGTTTGCATGGCAAAATCATAAAACACCTTTCTTATTCAGTTTTCCCCACATTGTTTTTTTTAAACCTATTATAGACTGGAATGTCTGTAAAAACAAACTTCACTGCAAATAAGAAAGAATAGCCCAAAATGTTGAGACTCACCAATAATAGATATAATCCAGGTTTTGATAAAACATTAACAGGAGCTGAAGTTGACTTCGTTGCTTCCAGTTGTTAGTAGGAGTCTTTACTCTGAGTTTATCAAATGCCTGCAGCATCAAACAGCAGCAGGACCCATGTCAGCGTTGCTTCATGAACTGCTTTGATTCCAAACTGTAGCCAGCATGGAGACAGGATCAGTCAGGATCTAACTACAGCTCACACTGTGTGCTTTTCTTCACATCAGAGTCACGGTTTGTAAGCTGCATTTAAATCATTTGTTACATAGCAGCCATCCTCAGGTTGAGTCCTAAGCTCCGTCGCAGCTGTCGGGATATTTTTTATTTTACTGTTGATAAAGTTTTAGCTGGATTATCATCACACATGGACAGAATTTCACAGACACACAAGGCTATTAGTCATTTGCACAGCTCGACAAGCTTGTTATTAGTTTAGATTTAGGCTTTTGTTTTTTAGTGCATTTTTATCTGTTGGAAATCCCTTGATGCTTTGTCCTTTTTTAAGTGCGGGACAAATTTGCATGTGTACTGTGGCTCTCTCCATAACTGTCGTGGGTTTGACTGAATGAATAAGAAACATGAATGTAAAGTGACCTTTGTCTGAATGACAGAACAGTGTTACATATCCAATGTCTGAAAATGGGTTTATATAGTCTATGTATGTACAACTGTGATGTGCATATATATGAGACGTGTGTTTTGTACTTTAAATGTCTCATTTTATTCCCAGACCACAACCTGGACCTGGTGGAGAAGGATTTCACCATCAACACGGTCGCAGGAGCCATGAAGGCCTTCTTCTCCGAGCTACCTGAGCCTCTGGTGCCCTACAGCATGCAGGGAGAGCTGGTGGAGGCCTTCAGTAAGTCCCGGGGCTCTGCTGGTGTGGGGGGGGACGGGGAGGTGCAGGGGATGTGGGGAGAATTCTTCACTAAAACCCGAGGTGTATTGGATTTTTGAAACCCCCTTTCCCCTTTATTGTAACGTTTCTTTAACCTAACAAGCAAAACTCCTGCAATCCAAATCCATCCATGGGGAGAATTGGATTTGCCACTCGGTAAGGAGCCGCGGAAAGGGAGGGGAGACGGGATGGAGGAGAGAATATTTAAGGCTTTTCAGAGAGAGGACATGGGCATGATTGCACATGGTGATGGAGGGTCTGGATGAAGTCATGAGAAAATAGTCATATGTGAGATAAACGACGGTGCTCCTGCGCTCTCCACAGCCTCTCTTTTTCTCTTTGTGTCCTGTAATCTGTCAGAATGGAGATTTAAAGCATAGCTTAGTCTTGCATCGCGCCAGAGAGATTTACCCCTGGGCCGCCAGGCTGCTGTCACTCACCGAGCTCCGCATGCGTGTGTGCGCGAGTGTGTGTTTTTTAAAGGCCCCGGCGAGACCCTTCAGCCGTGACAGAGACCTGATAAAGCTCCTGCAGCCTGTGCCACAATAGAGGAAAAAGACGAGAGCAGAAAAGAAAAAGTGAGGCAGAGCGGGAGACTAGAAAGCCGTCGTTTGGGAGAAAACAGCAAATTGGGCTCTGTGTTTTTGAAATTAAAGCTTATTTGGCGTTACTAGACGGAGACGCGGAGAAACAGTCGAGCCGGTGGGTGGATATTGTCATGGTGACGCTACATTAAATAAGCTGTAGGATGTTCGTTAAGTTCTGATTAGTGATGAAGGACATACAGCAGGAGGGACTGCGTGAAGTCATCCTGCCTTACAGTCTGTTTTTGATCCACACTGACCTGATTGTGGAAATACAAACTCAGATTCTCTGATTGTAAATCATGTGGAGGAGAACATCTGCTGTTCTCAGTGCTGCCTCGCTCACATACACACAGGATGGACTGTGTTAGCTGGTGACGTCAGCTTTTCTGACTCACTCCTCGCTGCCATCAGGCTTAACACACCCTGTATGTGTGTGTGTGTGTGTGTGTGTGTTGCTGTAATCTGTTGGACAGTGTAATGGGTGTATGCATGGCGTGTTTCTCCTCTGGAATGTGTGTGGTCTTTGTCTGGTTTGTCTTTTTTCTGAGAACTGTAGTTTGGAGTCCTCTTGGATCGTGTGTGTGTTTTCGTCACTGAGATATGTGAAACTTGTACTGTTGAAGGATGAAATCACTGTGTCCTGCACAGATTTTTTGAGAGCTGAAACCAATTGCTTTCCCTATGCTCTTCACACTCTCGTCTTTTCAATTGTGCTCTCCCCGTCCCTTCCTTTGCTCTCCAGTCTCGCTCCTCTGACATCATTTCCCTCAGATTCCTCTGATCTTTTCTTTCAGCCACTTTTCCTCCCTCCTCTAACCTCTCGTCTCTCTCCGCAACCATTCAGAGATCAACGATAGGGAGCAGCGCTTCCAGACGATGAAGGATGTTCTGCGCCGCTTCCCCAAGGAGAACTACGAGGTCTTCAAATATGTCATCAGCCACTTGAACAAGTGAGTGAGTGACGGGGTCAGAGATGGCCTCTGGCAGCTCTGCTGACTACACCGCTGGTCAAGTGACCTGTGGGTGACATCACCGACACGAGCACGCTGACAGAATGGAGGTTTTACTCAGGTTGACTCATAGTCTGTCTCAATGCTGTGACTATTTTAGCTCTGTTTGTAAATAGATGGTCGTGGATGTTACAGTTTATTTATGTAAAATTAGTTTTGTTGGATGAGATCTGACAAACTGACCAGTTTCCCAAAAATGACGGTAAAACTGTAGTTTAAATTCAATGCAGTTTCACATCCTGTACGTCAAATAATCCAAAATAAGTCTGAGTGGTCACAAGATCATTAACCCTCTGAACCCCAAGCAGTTTTTTTTTTGTTTTTTATCTTACTGTGGGCTCATTTTTCACTGCAATATAAAGTCCTGCACTTCTATGAAAATGGCACAACCACACAGAGAAGAAAATAATCATTGAATTTTATGGTTTTAAATTTTTTTTAAGTGTCCACAGGTGTTACCAACACTGGGAAGAAAGGTGGCTCTATATATTGTAGATATTTTACTACTTATATTTTTTTATCTGTTTCCATCGTTGTCTCTCATCTTCTCTGTACAAACACAGCCTGCAGTGCAGCCCAGTTCAGCTGAAAAGTCCCTCATTTTTTTGTCACAACTGCAGCTGAATCATGAATGACTTCACAGTTGCAGCAAGAGGCACAGATTTTTTGTTTGTTTTTTACAGAATCTAAATATTGCAAAATGTTTGTTGTTGACAATTTTTAAATGAGGCGATTTTGGCGAAATATTACAATTTTAAGTTTCGATTTTGTTACCATATCTAACCTAACAGCGCGTCACACGTGAGGAGTTCAAGGACTGTTGGAAAGTTCAAAATCCTGTGATTCTTTCTGTTTTTGCGCTGTGGTAAATGCTGTAATTTGGCAGTGTTTTCAACCTTTTAACCCCACTGGCAGGTTTTGGGATTCAGAGGGTTACAGGAATTAAAGAGAACATTAAAGAAGAGACATTTGTACCTTTTTGTGCTGGGAAAAAATCTAGGGATTTGAGATAACTGCACAGAACTAGTGTTTATGCTATGGCCAGAGCCTTTTGTGAGGAATGACAAGTGGCTGTTGCTTCATCTTATGGCATCCCGAGCTGAAAGAGATGGGAAACCACTGTTATGCATCAATCAACTATTGTATAGTTTAGGGGGACAGTTCTGAAGCCAGAAGTATGAACAAGGCATGGCCATACACTAAGGGGAAAACAAACATCTGAGACAGTACATTTTTAACTTTATTGCCACCAAGGCGTAGCAGTGTTGATCCATCGCTCCAGCACTTTGGTCCAGACCATTAAACAGTTGGATTGTCTGAAAGTTTGGTACATACATTCATGGTTAAAGAGAATGAAGCCTGCTGACTGCTCAGATTTGAAAGGTAGCATCAGGTTTTGATCAGTGAAGCATCCCCTTTTCTGAAGATGGTTAATTTGACTTTTCGGTTTCTCTGTCTCCCAGGGTGAGCCAGCACAACAAGTTAAATCTGATGACCAGTGAGAACCTGTCCATCTGTTTCTGGCCCACACTCATGAGGCCAGACTTCACCACCATGGATGCCCTGACTGCCACCCGCACCTACCAGACAATCATCGAGAGCTTCATCCACCAGTGCGCGTACTTCTTCTACAATCAGCCGCTGGCCGACGGTCTCCCAGGCTCCCCCACCTCTACGCTCTCCGGGGGAGGAACCTCGGCCTACTCCTGCATGGCCGGCGGCTACTCATCCTCACCGACTCCGTCCCCGACCCCCTACGTCCTCCCCGCCACCCCTCCGGTCATCCCCCACTATGGCCCTCCCATCCACCACCATCACCACCACCACCACCACCATCACCATCAACACCAGTCCCCTCCCCACTCCCCGCCTCCCACTCCCCAGTCCCCGATCCCAGCCTTGCTGCCGCCCTCCCTGCATCCCCATCACCCCCCGACGGAACAACACACGCTGTGAACCAGGGATCAAGGGAAAGAGAGAGGAAAAAAAAAATAACAACAAGCAGGCGGATAACAAGATTCAGCGATTCAAAGGTTCAGGATGAGAGATTTCACAGTTTGGGAAAGGAACTGAAGAAGATAAACTGAAACAAGAACAGGAGCTAGGAAGTGAAGTTGGGAGAGATTGAGTGAGATGCAGTATGTACAGGGAGAAACCTACATGTTTGGGAGAAGAAAGGGGGCGTTCGAGCCTCTGTTGCTTTTAGAATAAAAAAAAATAAAAAAAAGGACACACACACAAGCCAGGAAGAACCTCTGAACTGGCAGTATGATCTTTCTCCCTCCCCGTCACTTTATCCCTTTGTCTCTCAGTCTCACTTCATCTAGACCTGCCCTCCTTGCCTTATAGCGAATCTACACACACAAACACACTAATGACGAGTGAGATGTTGCCAGTAATTGTTAAAGGGACTCAGGGAGGGATTAAGAAGTACAGTGCAAAAGGGGGAATGTGAACTCTGTAATGTTGGGACTGCTTCAGCACACGCGCAACCGCACACACAACATGCACTCGACGCAAACGCCCAGCGGCCAGCGTGCCTCCAAACAGCCCTCAATCTCTCAGCTTCTAACTGCGCTGGGAAATTTGGTGGCCAGCGCATGTTTTCTTTTGTTTTGTTTTGGGTTTTTTTTTTGCAAAACCAACCCACCTGCTGTACGTTCCTGGAGGCTGCGACTGGGACGAAGTGGAGCAGACAGCTAGTCCTGAACATGTTTTGTTTATTTCACCACTGTACAGAGGACTTAAGCAAGAAACACGTGTTACTACTCACCCGACAGGATGTTCTGTCCTCCGCGACTCACAAATTCCTATCTGTCAACCCCCTTTCACAGCCATGCATACACACACACACACAAACAAAATCAGTTTTAGTCAAGGCAACATGCCAAGCACAGAAAAAAAAAAAAAAAAAAAATCTCGACCGACTGGATCTGCTGGGCAGCAAATTGAAGCAAAGGATTATGGGTGCTGTGACACCCATGGCATTCTGGGAAGGCTCCTCCCAGTCTCCTATTTGCTCTCCCTGTCACTTTGAACTTGATGCTTTGTCCTTGTAAACACATGAAAAACAAAAAAAACAGCTTAACATGATTTTTTTTTTTTTTTTGAAATCTTGATTCCACACTCACATTCCCATTGTGTTTATATTATGTTGTTTATTTGAGAAAATCTGGGCCGATCTGACGACGAGTGCGTAAGTGTGTGGCTGGCTGTCTCACTGTCTGCGTGCACCTGTATCCATGCCTTTTAGGTTTACCTGAATTTCCCTGTATTAGACAGATAGTGGGAATAATGCCAGTGTTGGACCTTCACCTGTCATGTTGCTTCTTTCACGCTGTGGTGGTTTTACAAGCGAGCTGGTGCTGCAGTTTTACGTAGTAAGGACCTTGTTCAAAAAGCACTTTTCTGAGCACTTTGAAGGCACATTTTTAAATTGGGGCTGCCGCGACATGACAGCCACCGTTCACTTTATTGTCAGTCCACCCTACTCTCTCTCTCTCTCTGGGAGCACACCACTGACATCTAGAGGAAGAAATGGGTTGCAGCCATAACCTCACTTCCACTACTGCATGGGCGTAGCACCATTCTCCTTGACTGTGGTTTCTTGTAGAGCCTCTCATAGGTGCAATTGTCAAGATTAATCATCATTGTATGTCAGGTGGAATTAACTTAGGTGTACTAGTATAAATAAAAGAACTGCAGCAGTTTCAAATCTGGTACAAATCAATTGAGATTACATAGATCTAGACTGTGTAGCCATGAAGCATGTGGCCACAGTGCAGTTGGTTTAACATGCAGTGAAAGAAATTGCCTCTGTCTTTTGTTGTTAGTTTCCAGTTCCCTTTGGGCGCAAAGTCAGCACTCAGCCCTTTGTAAAAGAGTTTATTCCACTTCCCACATACCATATTTTAGTGGAAGGAAATGAAGACAGAGAGACTGAGGCACAATGTAGCATTACAGGCCAGAGAGTTGGAAGAAAGCCTCGAGCTTTGACAGGTGGGAGGCTTTTTATACTTCGAAATAATTGGTAACCACTTCTCCAAGCCCCAGCATGATGTCCTCTTAGGACACAGTGTTATGTCTCTGGAACGGACTCTCTAAGTTGGTCTCGATGGACTCGAAATATAATTTGCAAGAGTGTAAGTAACCACTACACCGGACTCCCTCCCCCTCCTGCCTCCTGCCTCCGCCGTCACTGTTATGCCACCACATCCCCTAGTCATTCCCTGTCCAAGAGAGACAGTTGGGTCTGGGAGAGACAGCAGACAGAACAGACAGTCCATTCATCCGTCTGCATGACTGGAATGGAGCATCACAAAATTCCTCGGCCCAGCCTGCTGTTACCGTAGAAACCAGCGAGATGGGGCTCGAGGAGAGTCGCTGAGCCCCGATCGAAGCAGTTTTCAAAATGTGTGTGCGTCGCGCGTGTGCGTCCCTGTGTTTCGTGCGTGCGCGGACTTATGCGCGTTAATGTTAAACAGATGCTCGCCAAGGTCACCGTTTGACACTGAATTGCATCTCTGCACGTCTCTCCAGACTGCCCTCTCTGCCCGAAAGATGGAGGAGGAAGAAAAAAAAAAAAAAAAACCCTTTCAACCAATCACTGACTCTTGAAGGAGCTTTCATCAGTCCACACTACCTATTTACCTTGCGTGTGGGTGTATGTATGTTTGTATGTGCGTGTGATAGAGGAATTAGGAGTGTGTGTGTGTGTTTGTGTGTGTGTTTGGGCGGGTTCGGGGCTAACATGCTAGTAAGCTGTGCTTTGGCCGGCAGCCAGACACCAGCGTGATCCAAACGAACGTGAAGGAGAGGAATGCAGCTCTCCTCGCGGTCATTACCCCACTGTGTAACCCTGTTAGCTCGTCCAGATTACACACACTGATCCTCAGAGAAAGTGTGAGAGAGATAGGGGAGGGGGGGGAGAGGGGGGAGAGAGGGAGGGAAGACAGACAGCAAACGGGTGAATGGGATCATTATTTGGGAGAGACGGAGGGAGGAAGGAGGGGTGACCACTGGTACTTGTGTGTGAACGCCGGCCAGTGGCGTTCCCTGTGTATATCAATGTGTTAATACTGAACTGACTGTGAGGCAGCCAAAGACTGTGGAAAAAAAGGGGGGAGGGGGGCTTGATGGGGAGAGACGGGAAGCAAAGTGACAATTTAGAAGAACAGTTGAATTTTTTTTTTTTAAATGTGACTTTGGTTCAGCGATAATATGTGGCTGCATTGCTTTTCTTTTGTTTTTTTCTTTTGTTTTTTTTCCAACAATGGTGACAGATGTCTGTTAAGTTAAATTGAGAAACAAGCAAAACTATATTCAAATGGTTGTTTATTGGTATGTTAGGGGGTCTAACACTTTGCCCTTTAGTCAGTGGTGATAGAAAAAAAAAAATTTCTTTTTATGTTTTTATTTTAATAATTAAAAAAATACAACTTTTTTTTTTTTTTTTTTTTTTTTTAACAATTTCTTTGTGAACGATTGAGAGACCAGCCCAGTATAGTGCATGATTTCTTCCCGACCGAGGAAGAGGGCTCCACCACTCTCACTATTTAAGAGATGATAAAAAAAAAAAAAATATTAAGAAATAATGGGGGGGATGAAAATAATAAAAAAAAAATAAATGAAGTACTGTAAACTGAAAAGATAACATCAAACAAAAAAAACTGTCATTATTTGCTGAGTATGGTAATTTGTCTCAATGGGAATGGTGTATACAGCAAGGCCTTATGTGATCTGTATCATAGTTAATAAATCAAATCTTGTAAAAACTCCTGTGTCTTGTCTCTTTGTCTGGGTATTAAGTCGTACATAATTGCTAATGTGATGCACTGAATACATTTTTTTTAGAGTCGTCTTTCTAAATTTGACCAAAAAAAAGAAAAGGAGTTGTTGTTAAAAGGCCAGTAAGCAGAATTTGAGTTCATTTAGAATGAATCCCAGTAGATGCAGACTGTGTTAAATGTTTACAATGTCAGGAAGAGCTCTAAAATGCTGGTTGTGAACTAAATCCTGTGATGCAGCCTAATTTGCTAAAACAATTTCAAGTAAGAAAACACTGCAGGTGATCGGCAGGTAACATTTTTTGGCTTTGTGACAACATAGAATGAAAAACGCATGCTTATGGCTGCTTGTCTAGTGTATATGTCTACTTGTGTTTACCACTTTTACAACAGAGAGATGCTTTTAGTCTTCTTCCAATTTTACAGGCTTGAAGATGTGAAATGATCCAGTAGATTCATTAAACTGATTGGATACAAATTGTTAAACAAACATCATTCCTATCCTGTTAAAAAAAAAAGAAAGAAAGGTGCAACCCCTCAGATTTATCTACCAAATTCTAAGTTCGAAGTCACCGATTAGGTAAAATTACATAAAAGAATGAGTAATATGCCTGGTATTTGGTGAATTTTGAGTGTGTCAAGTAAATACATCATAATGCAAACTCGTGGAACAGCAGTAATCTAAAATTCGTTTTCTATCTCCTATTAAGGAACATTTTTCAGGTTCAGTTTCCCTGTTTAAGGACACCTGACAGAGCTATAAGCAGCAGGAAAAAAAGGTTTGGTGAGCGGAAGCTACGTAGACGGGTAGTACTGATGCATGCATGCAAATGTAGAGCCAAGTTAGTGAGGGGAAATTTCTAGGGCAGTTTGTGTAACACGTCTCAGTGAATAGAAGTGCTTACAGTTATAGGAACAAGGATTACACATTCATTTCTTCCACGCTGTGGTCTAAAAAGTTTCACGCAACATGTGCTAGTCAGTTTGTTGTTCTGCTCTTTCTGCACTCTGCTGAGGGACACTGAAACCACAGGGGGGGACGGGACGAGGTCACAGCAGCCCACAGGACCCTCCTGGTTCCTGCGAGAGCGGCCCGACGCGACTCGGTCTGTGCCATTTCAGGGTGATGTAAGGACTCCGGTCCCTGCGAGGGCCATGTGAAGGCCTCACTGCCATTTCATGGTGCCCTCATCTGACCTTTTCATTGAGTCAAACCAAAGGAAATCCATGCCCATGACCTTTGTGGTGCATCGCTCCCATTCTGGCACAGGAAGAAAAAAAAAACAGAGCAGCTGATTGGGAATGAAAAGGGCAAGCCTGTGTGCACACAGGACACACGACCCTTGAACTCTAACCTTTAAGCGGCATCATGAGGGAGAGAGCGGACTGGGATTTGATTGGAAGTCAAATATGGGGATCGTCAACACTGCTTGACAGGCCGGCGCGGGGAACAAGCCGCTCGTGGTTGTCAGGAATGCCAGGATTAGTGAGCATGAGGGGAGGCTTTGCAGAATTTATTACAGCTATCACCCCTACTGTGCTCATTAAGCCATTTAACTAAACCACACTGATCTAATATGTAATAAAACGCTTCTCCACCGGCAATTTCCCTCCTTTTCCTTGTGCATGCACGAACACGCCACTAGGAGGCTGACTTGTCTCACACTACCTGTGAGAGGAGCTCTGCTGTATCTGGGTAAAGGAGGCACACACAGAGCATGGACCTAATTGATTGGGTCAAGATTTGGATGTCAGCGCTTTAATCCCGCGCTCACAGTGAGATGAATGCGTGAAACGAGCATCTGAAGAGTTTTCTCACTGATGTCGAGCTCCTCTTCCCCTCTCACAGTTTGAAGTTGGAAATAGGTTTGACTAAACTCCAGAGATTGTATAAAGAGGGAGGATGGGAGGGAGCGCTCAGCGAAGTAAGCCTCGGAATAAAGACAAAGAACTTAATTTGAAGTCGTTGTTGCTCTGTATTAGAGACGTGATGCCTCCTCAGTGCAAAGGCATGGCCTAAAACTTCTGAGGTAGACAGAAAAAGAGGAGGAGGAGGAGGAGGAAGGGGACATATATGGAGAAAAAGAGACTGGTCTTATGATGAGTCGAGGCACGTAGCTCCGCTCAACCGTGTCTTTCTGGGCTTCGAGCTCGCAGCTGCGGCGGCGGGTATTGAATTCAGATGCGACCTGTCTCTCCGCTCCGGCCGCTACAGGTGGAAATGCTCTTATCAATACGGACTGTCCGAGCCTGACTGCAGCCCGATCCGTCTCATTGATGATTTTAGGTGCCCCTGCCCTCCCTCTCCCTCCCCGAGGAGCCCGATTGATTAATGTCTGGGTCACAGTGGTATTTCCATATTGATACCTCGATTGATGACGGCGCTCCAGGACCAGGCCGTATTGACCAGCTGGAAAGTGATACGTTTCAAACTGTTTGGCGGATGTATTTATGCATAATGGGAATAATGAGGGGTTAGGTACATGTGGTGGAAGTGAAGCGCAAATATATTCTGCGAGTTAAATTCAGTAATGCTGGGTATCTGGTGGAGGGGGGAGGATCAATATTCCAACAATAACAACAACAACCTGTTCTACTCTCACTGCCACCACTACTAATGTAGACATCATTACTATTAATAACTGGGGGAAATATAGTGAGGCTGTGGCATAGCTGGGAGATCATAATGACATTAGTGGGCTCAACAAAAACAAATTACAACATTTTAGATCAATGTTTTTGTTTTTTGTTTTTTTTAAATTCTGACAACTATTAATGAAATTATGTTCAACCATCAAACCACATTGAGTTTGTGGAATGAGCTTTTCCTCTACAATCAAAGTTTTTTTTAATTACCAGTCGTAACCATCCAGGAATGTTAAGGTGGAGGAGAGGACTTAAAATCCTGGACTCAAGGCAAAAACAAATTAAGTAATTAAGTCAATTTCATTAAGTTACCTCAACTTTAATTTAGTTTTAAATCAACTAACGTAGACACGTTAGTTTAAATTACTCTCTATATTAAGTTGGTGCAATTCAGACAATATAATGTCTAACCAACTTATCGAAATAATGTTTGCAACTTAAAATGTTAATCTAAATCAGTAAATTAGATTTTTTTTTTTCTTTTTTAAATCTTGCAGCCATGCATTTAAATAAGTGGTAGTAAATGGCTGTCTTAAATTGTCCACTAACGTTAAGATAGAGGCGGGGACTTGAAATCCTGAACTCAAGGTGAGGAAATATTAAGCAATTAAGTCAATTTTATGAAGCTACCTCAACTTCAATGTAGTTTTAAATCAACTAGAACCAAGAATTGGGTTTAAACTACACACAATATTAACCCATAACCCAACCCATCAAACAAAGGTTTGCAACTGAAAATGTTTATCTAAATCAGTAAATTAGTTTTTTTTTTATCATGCAACCATACATTAAGTGATTGGAAAAAGTCCCCTGAGTTACTTTACATTTTTGCCATTCCTTATTATAAGGTAAAACTTGAATCATCACCTGGAGAAAGATTGAGTATTAGCAGCATGAAAACAGACCAGTGAGAAAGTTTTAAGACACAGCTTAATGACAAAAGACACAGCTGTACAGAAATGTAACATGCTGTATATGCTTCATAAAATAAGGATTTGCTTCATAGAGGGGCTGCAACTACTGATTACAGTCGTGACTCGATAACCCGACCCTTAACAATCCGAAAACCTTGCCATCCAACAGGTTTTTAGGAAAAACAAATGGAACCAACAGAAAACAGCCTTAACATACCGACAGCCTTGGATTCCGACTCCAACGTGACATTTTATGTCACAAACAAGGAGAACAGCGTATTATCTGTCTTAACAATCCGACAGATTGGCTACGTTCAGACTGCAGGACTTAATGCTTAATTCAGATTTTTTTGTGAAATCTGATTTTTTGGTGTGTGTGTGTGTGAGTTTGTTCACATTTCCAATTATATGCGACTTGCATGTGATCTGCTGTGTGACCTTCATACGACCCAAAAGTGTCCCGCATGTGCAGAAGAGGACACAACGATGTCACATGCAGCGAGCGTGCTCAGTGTTTGCAGAAGTAAACACGGATGGTAATGGAACAGCGTATCCGCCAAATCCCCGCCACCACCACTGATGGTGGAAGCAGAACTGTGAGCGCTAACTAAACTAGCATCAGCAGCCAAGTACTGCCTGTGCGTTCTGACCACTTCCACCCCGTTGGAGCGCACCCCCGGGGTGCAAGTGGTCAGAATGTGCACAACTGCACCGGTCAATTAGACGTAAAATCCAGCAGTGTGCAGTGTTCTAACAATACACTAGTTATTCTAACAACCATAAACAATAAATATTGACAACAAATGACCCTTCAAGCATCAAGCCCTCCTTGTATCTCGACCTCCGTCTTGACAATCTGACAGCCTTACTATCCGACATAAAAGACGGTTTTACATTTTGTGTCGGATTATCGAGTCACGACTGTATTTTCATTGTCTATTAATTTGTTGATTCTCTCAGTTACATGATTCCTTGTTTGGTCCATTAGTTGTCAGAAAATGGCAAATCAGTGTTTCCCAAAGCTCAAGATGATGTATTTAAATGTCTTATTTTGTGGGCAACCTAAAAATGTCTAGTTTACTTTTGTGAAGGCGGATGGAAATGATCAAATATTCACACTTAAGAAACCGGAAATGTCGCCTTTTCTTCTTGAATAACTACTCAAACTGATTGTTCAATCATCAAAATAGATGTTGACTAACGTAATAACTAATCATTGCAGCTACTTCTACTAAATAGCTCATGTCGATCAGTTTGGGGGTTTCCAAAATGTATTTGATTGTACATGTTTGCAACTCAACAACACCTTGACAATATCCCAGCAGAAATGACCAAAGAGTCATTATCAGGATCACATATCATATCACAGCATCATATTTATAAAATCACACAAATACGAGGTTATAAATAGGTTGTACGTCACTCAGC